CAATACATAAAGGTTAGTTTAGTACAATAAAATAGATTTCCCAAATGTTGACATTCGAGCATGTTTTGGCTGTAATCTCCAAAACAGGATTTGTGACGAGTGACTTATTTGGCTTGTCCTTGCCACATATGTCTACACTCAGCTATTGAAGGCTCACCACATTGTATAGATGTATTAAAAGTAATTCCCAATCAGTTCCGAAAAAAGTGAAGTTAGTTACATAAAACTCTGTACAGCTTTACTGTAATTGCACTAATTTAGATATTCATCATATAACTATTGTTTATGCCTACAGTAATACAGTAAACCTATTTTTTAAATGGTCCTAGAGATATTTAGGTGTGAGACCTGGCCTCCATGCACACCCGACTTTGGATCGTCACCAACAATTCAAATTTATTTTCCTCGTAACTTGATTAAACTTTCACAAAAGTTTCCTTCAGATCATTTTATTAGTTTTTTTAAATATCTGGTCTGGGATGTTTTCGTTTGAATGGTTCTCATATCCATACCCTTTTTTCATTGAAACATGACAAATTATTGTGGAAAGGGAAATTTTGATCCATTGATTATCCTAGAGATATTTAGGTGGGACCTTATGGTTTTAAATAACCCTCAAATTCACACCTGAATTTCGATCGTCATCAACACTTAATAATGTCTTACTTGTTTGGTTAAACTTTCACTAAACTTCATTCATATAGTTGATTAGTTTTTGAAATATCTTGTCTAGAACGTTTGCTCTAAAATCATTTAATTGGTCCTCACATCCACACCCTACTCCGGACCGTCATTTTTTCATTGGGTTATGCCTAATACTCCCTGTTATTTTTAATTATGTCTTTGCAGCCGTTTCTTGAGATAAACAACACAAACAAACACACAAAGTCAATAAGACACCTCAAAAGTCGGGAAATCTCATTTCCCACCATCTAGGAATACAAATTTTCCAGGGGGAGAACCCCCACACCCTCTTTCTTTTTGAGATTTATCAATACTTTGAAAAATATACGTAGGCAACTCAATTTTTTTTTATGTATACACTTACTGTAATAAGAATGAGAAAAATTAACCTGACCATTTTCAAGAGGGGAAAACCTTGAATTTTGAAGGACAAATTATAGTCACTTCAGAAGTCTTGAAAGCTCATTTCCCGCCATTTAGAAATCAACACTTTACCAGGGAGAACCTGAATCCCCCTTTCACGTTGGTGTTCATTGATTCATGGAATCGTTTTCAAGAGTGGGGAACCTTGAATTTTGGAGTACTTAAAAGCCATTAAAGGACACCTTAAAAGTCAGAAAAGGTCATTTCCCGCCATCTTGGAGTCAAAATTTTCCAGGGCGAAACATCCAGATCAACCTTTCTCTTGGGGGTTTATCGATTCATGGAAAAAAGAATACATATGCAACTACTCAATTCTTTTATGTATGTATACACACATAACAGACCTTTTTAATGTAATAAAAATGAGAACAATAAGCAATCGTTTTCAAGAGGGGGGAAAACCTTGAATTTTTAAGAACTTGTCATTACGATACACCCAGCTCAAAAGTCGGGAAAGCTCATTTCCCAGCCTCCAGGAATCAAAATTTGAGGATCCTCGGACTGCCTTCTTTTTGGGGGTTTTGGGGAAAATTCTGACCCCTGTCCCCCTACATTTGAAGCCAGATCCCCCTGATTCATATTCCCATCCATTTTACTAGTTATGTCCCCCTCCCACTTTGAAAACGTTCCACCAGCTCTGCATTCTCTTTGTTGTGAACTATCTTTGTTGTGTACTGCAAGCATTAATTATAAAATGCATATTTATATCATTTTAATTCTGCATGTAATATTTAATTATGTTATTAATAGTACATAAAATTAAAATTTAATTATTTGACCAAATTTATATATTTTTTTCTAGAATTATAATTAAATTAACAATTAAACATTTTGATATTTATGGTGCATTTGTATTTTCTCATCCTAAATCTAATTAATGCAATTTATTTTACTATAGAAATTCTGAAGAAAATTTAGACATTGCACCTCTGCAACAAGTGGACCAGCCCTGCTTGGCTGAATGGCGAATTTTGCTTCCTTTACTGAATGGTGAGTGTGCTAGAAAAACTTTGTGAATTTTCTTATAAATTTCATGTCCATTTTAAATTGCATGTTCATTGCAAATTGCTAATAGTGGGATAAATAAATGCTAACACTGAATTCAGATTTGATACTTGTTCCTGAAATTATTTGATTTACATGTAATAATAAATAACTTTAAATTGTAACAATTTGCATAAATGTTTCAATTAAAAGTAACTTTAAATATTTTCCCTTTCCACTAGACTTATAAAAAATTTGCGTAAATGTTTCAATTAAAAATAAATTTAAATATTTTCCCTTTCCACTGGGCTTGTAAATTGTAAAAATTTGCGTAAATGTTTCAATTGAAAATAACTTCATATATTTTCCACTGGACCCGTAAATTGTTGTAAAAATTTGCGTAAATGTTTCAATTAAAAATAACTTTAAATATTTCCCCTTTCCACTGGACTTTTAAATTATTGTATAAATTTGCGTAAATGTTTCCATTAAAAATAACTTTGAATATTTTCCCCTTTCCACTGGACTTACAAATTGTTGTATAAATTTGCGTAAATGTTTCCATTAAAAATAACTTTGTTGTATAAATTTGCGTAAATGTTTCCATTAAAAATAACTTTGAATATTTTCCCTTTCCACTAGACTTATAAATTGTTGTATAAATTTGCGTAAATGTTTCCATTAAAAATAACTTTGAATATTTTCCCCTTTCCACTGGACTTATAAATTGTTGTATAAATTTGCGTAAATATTTCCATTAAAAATAACTTTGAATATTTTCCCCTTTCCACTGGACTTGAACTGTAAATTTTGTAAAAATGTTTCAATTAAAAATAACTTTGAATAGTTTCCCCTTTCCACTAGACTTGTATATTGTTGTATTAATTTGCATAAATGTTTTTCCTTTCCACTCTAGCTTATTGCTTTAATTTCTTACTCTTTCAGAATGTGGCAACTGATTCGGTAATTCAAGCATTCAATTCTGGTTATATATTTGAAATAAATATTCATTGTATTTATTTAGTATTGTACAATATTTTGAAATAAATAAATATTAATTGTATTCAGTTTAGAATTGAATAAATAAATATTAATTGTATTCAGTATAGTATTGAATTGTTTATTTCTTCTATAGTATTGAATGAGCAGGATGGTAAAAAAAAAAAAGCGCCCTCGAATAGAAAAGGCCCATAATATGACTAAGTTATTTGGCCACAATAATCTGTCCGGTTCTGATAAAAATAGTGAAGAAAATCGCCCTAAATAGCCATTTTAATTTAAAGTTTTTTAGGGCCTCTTAACTGTCAATGGCAGTAAGCGCCCTCTAACATCCAAGTTTTTCAGAATGGCATAAAAACTGGCTATTAGAGGGCACTACCACCTTATTAATAAAATTAATGACCAATAAGAGACCACCGAAAAACGTTGAACTAAAATGGCTATAGAGGGCGGTTTTCAGCACCACACAGGACCCCTTTAAATAATTTTATAGACCCTGGAAATTTTAGCTTTCTATTGGAGGGTGCCCTTCAGCACCACTTTTGATAGAAATTGAGGAACATGGGAAAAATTAGCTTTTTCTATTGGAGGGCGCTTTTTTCATCTTACCTGCATCCATCAGTCTTCAAACTTGAAACGGCAAAGAAACATCAAAACACTATTGGTTTTTTTTATTATATTCATAACCAAAATCGCGTAATGAAAATTATTAGGCATCAACAATTCATTATATGGAAAGTTAAAATGCAAGTTATGGTATTTTTCTGGTTCTCTTAGTAATTAATTAGTTCATATCTTCTGTACAATATAATAAGTTTTTCAGAATGAAGCAATTGTTGTCTTGATCCTGCAACAACTTACCTGCATCCACCAGTCTTCAGACTTGAACAACAAAGAAAAGTCAACACACTACTTATATTTTTTATTATCTTCATAACCAAAATCACATAATGTAAATTATTAGGCATCAACAATTCATTATATAGAAAGTTAAAATACTCTGCTAATAATCGTAGTAGTTTTCTGGTTCTCTGGTCTGATTGTAATTAGCCAGTTTATATCTTCTGTACAATATACTCAGTTTTTTTCAGAATTAAGCAATTGTTGTCTTGATGCTGCAACAAATTATACAGTACAACTGCTTTCACCAGGATTACGGCATCACAATATTCAACAAGATGTTAGCAAAACTTCTGTATTGTAGTTAAACTAACTAAATTAAATTACCTATATTAGACAAAATTAATTATAATAGGTTTTTCTTCCTTGTCTTCCTCTGGAGCAGTACTTCTCCTGTCTTGCAACTGTGTTGCTGCATCCACCAAAAATAGATGCTAAAAAAAAAATTAGACAGACACGAATTTAACAAAATTAAAGGTAATAATAAAGTTAATAATTTCATAAAGCTTCAGTATATTTCACTTAATACTTACAGTATTATTAATTCTATGATGTATATCAAAAGTTACTTATCTTGCAGAGAGTTGTCTGTCGTCTGTAAAAAAAAAAAAAAAAAAAAAAAAAAAAAAAATACAGATATTGTTTTTGTATTCTCAGAGACTTTCACAAATACTGATTTAAGAAAGTGCAAGCTCATTGTTGTAGTGGTTAAGCACCAGGCTAGTTATCTGGTGTGTAAATCCCATTTCCATGTACCACTGAGTACTCTAATGCCATTCAATGCTGTTTTTTTTATGTTAGGAATGTTTTAGTTCATCACACTGAATGCTCAGCATGTTCCATAATACTTGCAAATAAAGTCATTTGGGTAGGAATTGAACAACTGAGCTTACGCTATAGTGGCTTTGTGTTGAATCAGATTTAAGCAAAAGAAATCTTCCAAGAGTCCAATTTTCAAGTAGCAGCAAGTAGGCCTACTGTGATGCTTTTCAATTGTTTTATTTTTTTCTAGACACCATCAAATATAATTCTCACAAACAGTATTGTATTGCTTCATCAGTATGCACCCTTGTCAAACAGGCATGATTCCATATGCTTTGACACTTTAACATTGACTGGATGCTCCTCCACCTTCCTTTACCAGGATTATCGCACTATTCAGCAAATGTTCTAACAAAACTTCAGTACACTTTTCACTACTTGCCACATGGGTCATGTTCTGTTGCTTCATCCGCCAAAAAAAAGAAAAAAAAAACAAGAAACAGTAAGGTTGAGACATAATTTTAAGGAACGAAGAAATTATATCATCAGTCGGAAGATTCAATGGACTTTCTTTATTTTTGTTTTTTGTTTTATGGGGTAGAAATAGGGAAGGTCCACCACTACAGTTAAGCATGATCTCAGACCTCCATGGCCGTTTTACGTAGGACATGGCTGGCGCAACTGGGGGACTGGAGCCCCCACTTTTTGGCAGAAAATATATAGTGTCTATGGAAATTTTTGTATGATCAGAAAAAAATGCAAGAAAAGAAAGAGGAAAGAAGGAGATTGAGCGGAAAGAGAGTGTTCATCCAGTCCCCAACTGAGTTACATTTTGTCGCAATTCACATTGGCAGATCTGGGGTGTCAGGGGTCTTGAGTCTAAAAATTAAAAATCCCTTTCAGGACCCGTGAGGTGAGTGAGTCAGGAAAGCTCATCTCCCGCCATCTAGAAATAAAAATGTGGTAAAGACAAGCCAAACCAGTCACTTGTCGGAAAAATCAATTTTTAGTTATTAATACAGTGTTTAACAGTACAATGAGAGCTATAAAATGGTAAAAAAATCATTTAAATCCGACACTTTGTTATGAAGTTACACAAGTTTAAATATACAGCTGTTTAAAGAACAATATTTGAGAAATCAGCCTTCAAAATTTACGATTTTAGGCATTTCTTAGGCAGAAGCCATCACCAAATCGTTAAAAATTGTTTTAACATTGAAAATGAGGAAAATAACAGCATAGCATGATGTATAGATATATAAAGGTTAGTTTAGTGCTATAAAATAGATTTCCAAAATTTTGACATTCCAGCATGTTTTGGCCATTATCTCCTAAACAGGATTTGCGACGAGTGACTAGTTTGGCTTGTCTTTGCCACAAATAATAATATAACTATAAATATGGAAACAATACAATAAATACATTTTAAATACTACAGAAAATTCAATTTTGAAACATCATCAAATTTAAACTATTATTGTATTATGAAGTTCAGATATATAATGGTTCTTTATGAGTTCCTAACAGTACCATTATTAAAACACAGGTTTTCTTTTTCATCTTGCCAGTCAGTTGTCCAGGTAACACAAAACAAATTCCTTATTTACCACTACACCATGCCATCACTGTCACGGAGAACAGAAACTGGATGCGAGCCAACAGTACCTGTGGAAACTGGAATTTTCTTAGTAAATTTTACAAGCTGCGCTCATAATAGAAAGAAAATACCCACATGTAGACGTTACCTGACTACCCTCTTCATCTATGCAGCATCAGCAGTCATCTAATGATGCTACTTTCCTTTCAACCATGCAAGCACTTATGTCTGGTTTATATTTATCCACTTCTGGATCTTCGTTACTACCTTCTTCATGGAAAGTAGATTTCGGTTGACGTGTCTTGGAATAAGATAAGCCGGCATATTTGTCTGTACTGCCTGCAGTTTCTTGCAAAGTGTCCAACTCTGACTCCTATAACAATTATTTTTGGATTAGACAATGCTAAAAATTGACAATTTCTTTCCAATACCTAACACAAATGACAAGTTCCAGAAAAGGGTTTGCTTACCATTTGGGAGCAGTGGTGTAGAAAAGTATTTTTCATTGGTGGGGGGGGGGGGGATGATTGAAAATTCTTGGAATTAACATAAAATTACTGATGTCGTACACACCCTTCAGTGTGAAAATGTGGCTTGCTTTGCAAGCACATCTAACATCCAAGGAAAGAAGAGCTTAGATTGGTACCGTACCAGATAAAATAATTTGTTATCAACATTAATACATTATGCTAATTTTCATCTTTGTAAGCGCATAAGACATTTGTGTCTGCATCTAATTCTAATCCATCTAGTCAAAACATCTTTCAAATTACCGCAAATTAATGCCCACTTTCTCCAGCTTTAGGTCTTGCAAGATGTAGATGTCGAAACCCATCATGTCAACTGGAAATGCTTCAATAGAGCAGTTTAAGTAATCTGTAATCATTTGCTTCATCTGATAACCTAAAATAAACTTAAAATAGATTTTCCTGTTAATAAAGAACTTATTTACTGCCAAATCACGTGGCATACCTTTCATATCATTTTAAATAAGAATCCAGATCATTCTTACCTTTATTAAATGCTGGTAATTTAGGTCTACTTGCCTTAACTTTGGATTATCCAGTTTAGGGACAGGTAATATTCTGCCTGATTTAGGTTTGTTCTTTTCATCAGTGTTCTTGAATTGTATAATTTCCTGGACGAGTAGTCCCCAAAAATGTCACACAGCCTCTCAGGAGCTATCTGACAAAGGTCCGAACATACTTAAGAGAAAAAGTTCACAACACAATTAATTACCAAAAATGTTTACTGATATATTTCTGAGAAAGTGCACCCACCAGCCTAGTGGTGAGGAATCAAGTGGGGCCAATGAAGATAACACTATAATGGATGTCCATTTTTTTGCGACCAATGTTTTCTTTTTTTCTTTCTTTTTTTTTCTTTTTGCTTTCCAAAAGGAAGTGGACAGTAAATCCTCCCCCTGAATTCCATCATCATTAAAATATGTTTTCAATCATCTCATTAAACAAAGCCATAGCAGTTAACAAATAATAATAATTAAGCATCAATGCTACACTAGAACTTTATCAGTCGGCCCTTCCAAAACTTTCACGAAGTATTATGTAACCAAAATACAATAATAACTGTCTCTTATACACATCTAAAGAGAGTGTTTATCCAGTTCCCGATCATTTTTTCACAATTCACATTGGCGGATCTAGGGGTCAGGGGTCCTGACACCCCCCTCCCTTGGGCGGAAAAAAAGTTTAAAAATAAAAAGAAAAACCTAGTTTGTCAGGACCCGTGAGCTAAGAAAATTAGTCAGGAATGCTCATCACGCCATCTAGGAATTAAAATTTTTTCGGGGGAGGACCACCGACCCCTTTTATTTTTGGGGTTCATCGAGATTCATGGAAAAAAGAATACATAGGCCTATGTAACGTGCAAGCACTTATGTCTGGTTTATATGTATCCACTTCTGGATCTTCGTTACTACCTTCTTCATGGAAAGTAGATTTCGGTTGACGTGTCTTGGAATAAGATAAGCCGGCATATTTGTCTGTACTGCCTGCAGTTTCTGACAACGTGTCCAACTCTGACTCCTATAACAATTATTTTTGGATTAGACAATGCTAAAAATTGACAATTTCTTTCCAATACCTACTGTACTTGATAACACAATTAATAAGTTCCAGAAACAGGTTTGCTTAGCATTTGGGAGCAGTGGTGTAGAAAAGTATTTTTCATTGGGGGGTGGGGGGATGATTGAAAATTCTTGGAATTGACATAAAATTACTGATGTCGTACACACCCTTCAGTGTGAAAATGTGGCTTGCTTTGCAAGCACATCAAACATCTAAGGAAAGAAGAGCTTAGATTGGTACCGTACCAGATAAAATAATTTTGTTAATCAACATTTATACATTATGCTAATTTTCATCTTTGTAAGCGCATAAGACATTGCAAATTATTTCTGTGACAGTCTTTTGAAGTGTGTAAAGCTCCATTTTATCCCATACATAGTCAAAATATTGGGGGGATGATACAATGGACCATCCCCCTTGTCAAATATTGATCCCCAGGATCTACGCCTGTGTTTGGGAAGGAATGGAGCTCTCACACACTAGGGTGTGGTTTTGTGGTTGCATTTGGTACAGGTTTTAAAACTGGATCCACAGGCTTCAATGTACTGCTTAGAAATTTCAGCCATAGCAGTTAAAAAAGACTTTTCTAAAGTAAAAGTGCCTACTCACGCCCAAATCC